AGAGAGAGAGAGAGAGAGAGAGAGAGAGAGAGAGAGAGAGAGAGAGAGAGAGAGAGAGATTGTGCCGCTCATTATCCTCATGACAGGGTGATAGACGGATTTACTTTTCAAGTCAATGGTGCAATCGATTCTGCAGAATGCATCTGGCTGTGCTCTGTTGGTTAAGGCGGCCATATGATTTCACGTCACAAGACGCCTTTTGGTTCTAGACCGTCCATGTTTTCTGTGCGAGTCCTTAAGCTCAGAAAGAACAAAGACAATTACTGTCAGGCACCTATTGGCATAGTGCCCATTCCTTCCGTCCTTGACTACATTTTAATAATGTTGTACATTTCACAATGCAAGATAGGGAGGAGGGGGGGGGGGAGGAATGGGGAAGGGGAGGGGGGAAACCCTGAAAAGGTGCTGTTCTGTTTGGGGGGAGGAGCAGCAGATAGGACTTCCAACTGAATTCCTTTCTGAAGAGTTTCCATTCAACGGAAGAAGAGAAACAATAACAGCAACAGACTTGAGGCTGAGGCTGAATGGCGCACCCATACACAACTGTTGACAAGCAAACCTCCTGGGTTCAAATCCTACTGGAATCTGATGACCTAAATGACTCTACCTGGAGCCAGTCGGTTTGATGATGACAGCTCGGGGTCATCGGCACTAAAAAGAAAGAAAGAAGAGAAACAGCGACAATGCAAAGGATAAGGAGCAAGAGCGAAATCGGGCAGCAAAAGGAAGGAGAAAGACCACCCACCAGTTCTACGCCACTCTGCTTTGAGCGTCCCCAGAAATACACAAGCCATGCCTGCAGAAATGCCAAGTTTTGATGAAATGCACTTCTGTTAGATTATTATCTTCCAAAACTATTAGTAGTAAACCTCCCCCTACCTTAGAAGGGCACACTTTAAAGTTTAAACACCAAAATACCATACGCGTCATTCTTTGGCCACCAGGCGTCACAGGACCAGGATGGCTGGAGGCGCCAGTCAAAAGGGAAAAGAAAAGAGTCATGCTGGTGCTTCGGCAAAGTTCGGCGCATAGTTATTTTCTACCTCCGCAAAAATAGGCTCCGAGGTAGTGGTCCTTTAGTTTAAAACTTCAAATACTGCAATGTATATGTTTACGAGCACTGCGTTTCTTTTCTTTTTGACGGATCTAGCTGCCCTTTTTCGTTGAATAGGTCTCATCAGTATACCAACAATGTGGCAATGTCAAACAGTATAATGTTTTCTGTAAATTGGTGGAACACTCTGCATCAAACTTCTAAGGTGATTGACTCACTACACAGCCAAGTCGGAATCCAGAACCCAATCCATTGCAGCAGCAAACCCTTACCCTTATGTTTGTCTAGCATGATAAAGAAACAAGTTCGAGTGCCATTGCGTAGAGGACAACCAAGCACAGAGAAGAGGAGAGAACGAAAGCCATGCATGTGGAAGGTATCAAATTGGAAGGCAAGGTGTAGAACGCACAATGACAGGCTGGCTCAGGAGATGTTGCACTCGGTCGTCTGCGTTTGCGCAGATGCAATTCCCCCCCAACTTTTTTCTGCCAAGCTGAGTTTATACTACCTTTGTGTCCTCCTCCTTCCCCCCCCCACATCATTCTCATCATTCCCCATTGTTTATCACTGCATCTACATCCTCCGCCACCTCCTCTTCTCTCCTGCTGCTCCTCTTCCTCCTCCTCCCCTCCTGTTGCTCCTCCTCCTCCTCCTCCCCTCCTGTTCCTCCTCCTCCTCCTTCCCTCCTGTTCCTCCTCCTCCTCCTCCTCCTCCTCCTCCTCCTTCCCTCCTGTTCCTCCTCCCCCTCCTCCCCCACCCATCATTCTCATCATACACCATCGTCTATCACTGCATCTACATCCTCCGTCGCCTCCTCTTCACTCCTGCTGCTGCTCCTCTTCCTCCTCCTCCTCTTCTGATGCTGCTCCTCGTCCTCCTCCTCGTCCTCCTCCTCCTCTTCCTCCTCACCATCATCTTCATCATCATCCGTTTTCCTCTCTCATCAGCAGCCATCACTCCCCATCACTGCATTAAACATTTACCCAGATCCCCTCCCGTGATCTTGAATGGTTGATCTCCAGTTCCAATTTTGAATTTTGCATCCGTCTCCTGCTACTCATCTTCATCATCTCCATCATCATCATCATCATCATCAATTCCTTGTCATCATCTGGCATCATCATTCATCATCCCTCGCGATCATTTGTCATTTGTCATGATCCAGTACTCATGAAATACTCGACACCATCACCTTCTTCGTCGTGAACATCATCATTGACAGCTAATTATTCAGCGTTCCGTTGATATTATTGAACTCAGTAAAAGGTTATCCACAAACAAAAACAGCGAACATTAAAAAAACAGCATGACAGAAAAGGAGAACCAAACAAATCAGATGTTATTATGACAAGCGGTATACGATTCAAGGCTTCCAGGGGAAAAAAACAAAACAAAACACGCCGTACCTCTTTGAACTGGGCATCCATAACCTCCTCCTCGGAGAGTTCTGCACCATGAAATGGACACAATTCAAGATCACTCACTCACAGGTCATAATCCAGCACCCATTGGTTGGGCTTAAAAAGAATTAGCCTAGAAAAAAGGGAAAAAAAAGAAGGAAAAAAAGTTAAAAAAACGACACCCACACCATAGCATTCCACACAATTGCATTGCAGCACAAACTAAAAGGGGAAGCGGGGAGTGGGTGAAAAACAAAAAGAAAAAAACAAAGAAAGCTGAAGCTGCTGCAATGCCCAGCACACAGAAACAGAAGCCCGATTGATGCACACTATGCACACGACTGCCTGTCCCGATCCCGACTGAGACACAGACATGGACACTCGTGCTAGCTGAAAGGTCAATCAGACCACCAGTTGATTGTCCCGGCCGTTTTGTTACGATGTCGTGGTATGCCTGTTGTGTCCACGGGCTCAGCCTACTGGAACAGTTTGGCTGGAAGCACCAAGCACAAGCAGAACGAACGTCACACACGTGCCAGTTTGCCTTTTTTCCTTTTGACACACAGCAGAAATCAAGGGAGAGAAAATGAGGCTCGGAGGGAGTGGCGGCTTAAATGCATTAGACTGCATCACTTATACTCTCATCCTTCAAGTGCACGTCATGCATGCATTCCGTGTGTGTATCTGCATGTAACGCACATGGGCACCCTGCATGCATTCCGTGTGCGTATTTGCACACATGCCGCGCGTGCATTCCGAGTGCGCTTGTGCACGCATTTTGTGCACAGCTTTACATACATGCTGTGCGTGCATGCATTCTGTGCATACATGCTGTGTGTGGAAGCATTCCGTTTTCTATTCATCTGTCTCAAACGAGGGGGAAGAACCAACTAAGAACTTGTTGAAACCACCCATTTGCATACACGCTGTGCATGCGCGCATGCGTGTGTACATGCTGTCTGCATGCTGTGCATATTTTCTCAACTAAACTTGGTGGGACGATACAGAGAGAGACGATTAGCTTAAGTGACATCCATTAAAATGGGAACGATAAATGAGTCTAAAGACTCTAAACAAATAAACATACCAATAATTAGACAATAAACAGACAGATATTAAATAACAAAACATCGAAAACGACAAATTCAAATAGATAGATAGATAATCAAGCAAAAATCTCGTAACTGCAACAGGAAGTCAGTCCTTCGTGACATCCATTAAAATGGGAACGATACAGAAAGAGACGATTAGCTTGGCCCCTGCGCAAGAATGACGAGCATAAATCGACTGAGGGACAAAAAAAGAGGGGAACTTTTTTTTTTTTTTTTTTTTTTGAAAGAGGGGCGACAGGAGGTCAGAATGAAGATCAAAAGATTTAAAACCATCTTTTCCTTTGACTTACCCAGCTGTTCAGCTAGCTTTCCATCTGCTCCGGACGGTCCCGACTCTGCCAACAAAGTTTGCAAACCAAAGGTCAGTGATCCGCGCTTCTTTCCTCGAACAACATTGCACCGCAGCTGATCAACGGTCAGGTCAGTTTTTTTAACTTTTAAAGTTTTTTTTTCACTTCTTTGCTGTTGTACTTTTCTTTCACTTCTTTGCTGTTTTGCTTTGAACATCCTTGCTGTCCCATTTTTGTTTCACCAATGTCACATCCAGCAAACCCCGTTACGCACCCCTACGTGTGAATCATCCCCGTAGTATTTTTTTTCTTGAAAACAAGGTGCAGGAAAAGAAATATAGCAAAGCCCTGGCTCCTTGATTCCTCGTGCAGTCTTTTTCATTTCCATTTTTTTAACTTTTTTTAATCTTTTGCAGAATGTTTCAGAAGAAAACAAAAAAAACAGAGCCGCCGCAATAAAAGGTCACATAGAGCCGTGACTCGGTTTTCTTCGCCAATGAAGGTCAACGCAGAGCTGCCATGGCAATGAAGGTCAGCACTCATCAGAAAAACTGAAACACAGGACATGGCAAACTTTTTTTTTTTTTTCCGCTAATCTGTACTCTTCTCTCAAGACTCTCTCTCTCTCTCTCTCTCTATCTATCTATCTATCCTGTCTCTTATACACATCTAGATGTGTATAAGAGACAGCACACACACACACACACACAAACACTATAAAACCCTAACACAAACCGACTCCACGTTGCAACGAAGCGTTCAACGAATCCAACAGAATGCCAACTCTTTTCCGTTAAACGACCAGTAGTTGGCCCAGCGAGCCTGGAATGCCCCTGCGCGCCTATTTTCGCCAAAGCGCCGCGGTACCGTTTCAAAATTGTTTTGGCTGGCGCTTCCAGCCATTGAGGTCCGCTACCCCGCGGCGCGTTAACGGGAAAGCGCCGCAGCCGATAGCTGGGCCAAGTACTGGTGGTTCAATGATCCAAACATGTCAAAACTGGACACATACCCTAAAGCACCTACATATCACACAAACAGAAATACAAAACAAAAGCACAAAATCCGTTCTCATGGTGACAGCAATATGACAGTTTCTACTAACGTCTTTCTCATGGTGTTTTCATGGTGGCAATCCGTTCTTCCTCGCTTGAATACATAGCCAAGGCTTGCAATTGTGTGACTACTTCGTGGGAGATATGACATCATGCCCACTTGATACCTTTTCACGATGTCACATCTTCTCCGCTTATTTTCGCTTCATCTCACGCTGGCAAGGCAAAGGATTGAAGTTTCGCCCTTGCCAACCAGAAAGGCGCACCTCGAATGAATTTTCCGGCTCATTGCAGTTTACATCGTAAAAAAAAAACTTGACATATTAAAAGACAAAAGAGAAAATGATACTAAAATCTTAATATGGTAACTGCAGAGATGAAGAAGTTAACATATTAAGATTCTAGTATCATCTTCTCTTTTCTCTTTTTCTTCACTTCTCTTAACTCTCTCTTTCCTGCATATTCTTATGCTAAACTGTGCAATGGGTCGGGAAACACTAACCTAAGAAGTTCATAATTTATTCAAAATCTGTAATCTAATTTATCCAAAACCTAGGCTACCAGAGTGGCCCGGGGGCACTTCCCCGGCCGGGCCAAAAAATAAAAAAAACAATAAAATGTTTTTACATTTATTTAAATTATTTATTTTATTTTAAATATGGTAAATAATTTCGATCTGACCCTGAGGCTACCAGAGTGATCCTTGATCGGCCGGGCCGTCCGGGAAAATAGGGTGACCCGGGCGGCCCGGCTGGTAGCCTAGTCCAAAATAAAAAAAAACTTTTTTATTGAAGTATAATAAGACAACGGATTGCATTTGTAGAAGTCGTTATCCTATGGGAAACACTGGGCCTGGCCGCGCTACTCTCTACATGCACAAAAGACAAAAGGGATGGCAATGTATAGCGGGCCCGTCCGGGAAAATAGGGTGACCCTGGTAGATTCAGTCTCATTTTGCACTTTGGAGAGTAGTGCAGTGAGGCCCGCGACTGCTATCACAAGCGTCATAAGAGACGCACACACACTACAACCTGTAAATAACACCCGAGCGTTATATTCGTTTATATAACGCCCGGATATTATATTCAGCAAATTGGTTGCAACTTCAGTGCGGCCCTGAAATCCGAAAAAGGGTTAAAAAACAGAAAAAAAAAAAAAGAGTTGTCTAAAAGTGCAAGGCAACCAACTTTTGGCCCAGGATCACTTCAGGATTCCTGGTAAATTCGGGAAACAAAAAACGAAAAACAAAAATCAAACCAAAAGATTGTGTTTAAATACCCCCTCGAAGTCCAAACCCCTCTCAACCTCCCCCCCCCTTGAAACCCATGAACACACCTCCACCCGCTTTAAAACCTGTGTATACTCCCTCTACAAGGCACTCTGCCCATAGCACATTCAAATACAACGCACATGCATTGTATACAAAGGGACGTTCTATTAAAAAAAAGTGAGTAAAAACAAAAAAAAATGATTTTATAAGGGCAAGTTGAATAT